CCTCAACTGGGGACCAAACCTGCAGCCTAGGCATGTGCCCTGACCGGGGCTCAAACCCGCCACCCTTCGATTTAGAGGATGATGCTCCTACCAACTGGGCCACACCAACCAGGGCAAGGGGGTAATTCTGCAGTTGAAGAATATACATGTTCAGTTCTTTTGTGTGCATGCAGACAGACTCCAAGGGCAGATAGGAAATCCACTCTGGGCTTGCCCTCTTACCTGGGGAATGATGCCTGAACAGGGTGGGGGGAAGCCCCCTGGATACTCACCAGAGTCCAGGCCATCTGCTCGCATCTTCGGTAGTGAAACTGGCAGACCAGGACCTTATGCGCTGGCCACGCAGGTGGGGACCATTGGACAGTGGCCTCCAGGGGGTTATCTTCTGAAAAGTCCACATCAGGGTGCAGCTGGGGGACTTCCGGCTTCACTGAGGAGGGGAGGCCAGGGTACATTGAGTCAGGGCCTCCAGCACCACCCACGCCCCCCAGGTAGCATCCCCCCCTTCTGCCTGTTACTTCGGGTCTCCAGGTTCACGAAGACTGGGGGCCACAGAGGCCGGCCCGCCTTGGCCCCCCAGACAAGGAGTTCATCAGATGTCGTGAACTGTTCCCGTGGGATGGTCACCCAGCTCTGTCCAGCGGGCACTGCCACAGTCCAGGTTCTGTTGGAAAGACTGTGAGGAGAGATGCGAGAATTGAGGGGAGGCGTACACAGGGCTGGGCCCAAGCCACAGTAACAACCTCTCTGCCCGGGTTCAAATCCCAGCTCTTCTGTTTTAGAGGCTTGTGACCTCGAGCAAGCAACTTAACTTCTGTGTGCCTCAGTTTCCTTATCTCCAAAGAGGGCAATAAAAGTACTGCTGACAGGGTTGCATAGAGGAGGGGAACCAATATGATAATCAAGGGGATGCATTTAAAGCACCATTGAGTGCACAACACATGTTATGTGAACATTGGTTATTGTGTTTATTGAGTACCTACTATATATATGCACATTTATGTCTATGCAGCTATTCAGTCAACAAATACATATTGTGCCAGGCACTGTTGTAGAAACTGAAACAGGACTGTAACCAAAGGAGGCAAGGACCCGCTCTCTGCAGCTGCTCGTCCAGTGGGGGAGGCAGGGGAGAGGCATCAGTGTGTAACTGCTGGTGGTGTAGGTGATAGAAAGAACAATCAGGCAGGGTGAAGAGGATGCCGTGTGATGACGGGGCGAGGAGTGACAGAGCTCTTTTAGGGGGGTAGTCAGGAAAGATCTCTCAGATGAGAAGGCATCTGAATAAAGGCCTGAAGGACGTGAGGGTAGGGTCATGCAGAACATTTTAGGAAGGGAGTACAGCCAGTGTGAAGACCCTGGGGTCAACTGCCTGGTGTGTTTGAGGAAGAGCAAGAAGGAGCCCTGGCCCGGTGGCTCAGTTAGTTGGAGCATCATCCCATACACCAAAAGGTTGAGGGTTCGATTCCAGGGCAGGGCATGTACCTGGGTAGTGGGTTTGATTCCCTGTTGGGGTGCATATGGGAGGCAAACAATTGATGTTTCTCTCTCTCTCTCTGAAAAAAATCAATAAAAATATCCTTGGGTGAAGATTTAAAAAAATAATAATAAAAGCATTTTTTTTTTTTAAAGAGCAAGGAGGAAGCCCATGTGGCTGGAGTGGAGTGGAGCGAGTGAGTAGAAGTGGAAAGAAGTGAGGGCAGGGAGGTGACAAGCAGATTGTGCAGCTACTGGGCGACCACAGGCAGGGCTGGCTTTTCCCCGGAGTGAGACAGGAGCCCCCAAAGGCTGTGAGCAGCAGAGAAGCTACATGCCCTGGCTCAGATGTTCCCAGGTGCCCTCCGGATGCTGCGGCCGCCTGTGAGGTTGAGGGAGAAGCCAGAGCCCAGGGAGGAGGTGACCGCAACGTCCAGGCCAGCAGTGAAAGGAGAGGGACCAGGGTAGGTGCTGAGGAAGCGGGAAATGCCAGATTCTGGATTACACTTGAGGTGGGGCCGGCGAGGCTTGCTGATGGGTTGGATGTGGGTGAGAGAGAGAGGAGCTGAAGAAGTTCCCAAGGATTGAATTTCCAAGGCTCAAAACAAGTCCTTCATGAAAACAACAACAGAAACATGTGCGGGTGAAGATGGGGAGAAAGAGGAGCCCTCCTATACTGCTGGTGGGAACGTAAAAGGTTGCAACTGCTGTGGAAAAGTTTGGCAGTTGTTTAAAAAGTTAAACACAGATTTGCCCCATGACCTAGCAATTCCACTCCTAGGCACATACCCAAGAGAATTTTAAAACAGAGACTCAACAACTTGTATATGCATGTTCATAGTAGCACTAAAATCACAATCACCAAAAAGGTGGACACAACCCAAATGTCCATCAACTGAGGGATGGATGAACAAAACGAGGTCCACCCATACAACGGAATATTACTCAGCCATAAAGAGGAAGGGAGCTCTGACGTTGCTACAGCGTGGGTGAACCTTGTAAACATTATGCTCAGAGAAAGAAGCCAGACACAAAAACCACATTGTGTGTGATCCCACTGAGATGAAATGTCTAGAGCAGGTAAATCCACAGAGACAGAAAGCACCCTGGTGGCTGCTGGGGGCTGGAGGAGGGGGAGTGGGGAGTGAGTGCTCACGGGGACGGGACTTCTTTCAGGTGATGGACATGTTTTGGCATTAGGTAGAAATGGTGGTTGCACCACATGGTGAACGCACTAAAGCCACAGAACGGTTCACTTTAACATGGTGAATTTTATGTTATGTGAACTTCACCTCATTAAGAAAGAAAGGAAAAATCCTTCTCTGACTCCCCCACCCTCTACCAACTAAAACTAGGCCCCCCTTTCGGAGGTGGATGATGGTGACGGCTGCACTACAATGTGAATGCACTTAATGCCACTGACGTATACACTTAAAAGTGATTGAGAAAAAAATGGTAAATTTTATATGTATATTTTACACTGTTAAAAAAAAAAAGCCAGCCCCCAACTTCGGTTCCTACCTTTCAGTGCCCCTTGGACCCTTCCAAATCTGAAATGATTTTGAGTCTCCAGATGTGATTCATCATGAAGGACTGGCAGGTGCCCCTGGGACTGTGGGCCCCAGGAGGACCAGGCTCCCGTTTGTCTCTCTCGCTGTTGCGTCCCCAGAGAGGTTAAGCTACTTGCCTGAGGCCACACAGCAATAAAGACATTTTTCTCTTTGCTAAGTGCCACACTCGTTGGATCCTCAGAACCAACCCCGGGAGGCAGGTTTCGTTTATTACTGCCATTTGATAGAGGAGTAAAGGGGTCTCAGAGAGGGAAAATGACTGGTCCAGGGTTGTGCGGGAAGGACATGAGGGAACCTGGAACTACTGACAGGCTTGAGAGTTGGGGAGGGCTGGGGGGGGCCTCCTGGGTCCTCAAAACTTAACAAGCTGGGGGCTCGAGCAGTCGCCCTGCCAAAGTCTCGGTTTCCTCAGGCCGCCCCATTGTACTCACTACTTCTGACTCTGGAGGTGCAGCATGGACGGAGCTCCGAGGTCCCCAAGAGGCTCCCACGAGCAGTTCAGGTCGCCCAAGGGTCGGACACCATAGCACCGCAGGGGCCTGGGGCTGCCTAGAAGGGAGGCGGGAGGGTCCCAGGAAAGGGAATCAATTCCCCCAGCCGCCTGCACAGCCTAGGACCTGAATTCCCACAGCTACTGAAAATCGTTGGGGAGTGATGGGGGTCCCTCACAGAAATGAGCAGGAAGAAGGGGGCGCTGGGAACCTCTACCCAGGCCCGGTGCATAACTCCTCCCCTCCCTCAGCCAGCCACATCCTGTTACACCCCAAGCGCCCCCACCCCACCCCCACCCCGGGGCTCTGGCTTCCATCCCCTGCCTCCCATTCCCACTCTTTTTCTCCGCCCCGTCCCTGCCCAAGGAGGAGCTGAGCGGCGTCCGGACCTCTGTCATTCATTCCGCGAACTTGGGGCTCGCCCTGGAGGATTTGCGCTTTAAGGGAGAGCGCGCGGCAGAGCGCCTGACACGAGCTCGCCCCAGAACTCACCCTGGGGACTCGTCCTGTGGAACAGCAGCAACAGCAGAGGCAGCAGCGCCAGCTTCTGCCTTGGCAGCAGCCGGCAGGGGGCGGCCGGGGCCCCCCTCATGGCCTCCCCAGCGCCCCCCAGGCCCCCCGAGTCCGGCCCGGCCCTGCTGGGCCCTGGCGGACGCGCCGCGCGTCGCGCTCTCCGGATCAAGCGACCCAGCGGCAACGGGAAGCCGAGCCACCCCTCCCAGCCGCCTCCGCACCTTGCGCTCGGGTCCGCCCCTTCCTCGCGACGGAAAGTCCCCGGGGGAGGGGGAGTAGGGGGCCGGCCTGGGGCTTCTGGGGGAGGCGGCGGACGGCTCGGCCTAGCGCCCCTGAAACGGAACGCCCCTAACAACACACGCACACGCTGCGGAATCCTTCAGAACTTTTATTACTGAGGTCGGAGAAGCTTCTTTCTGACCGGTCTCCCTACCCAGCCTCTCACCCCAGGATGTGAAGGGGACTCAGGGGTCTCAACACCAACCCTGGGGTCCACAGCCTTAGACCGCCAGCAGGTCGGGGTGGAGGGAGAGGGGCTGGAAATCAGGGGGAAGGGAGTGGACAAAGGCTGGGCTGGGGCAAGGGCATCACTTGGCATGGCCAGGGGACAGTGGCCACAGTTTGGGCAGGAACAGTTTCGGCAGTGGCTTCTTCAGCGTGGCCAGTTTGGGTAGAGTAGGGGCACCGTTGGACCATATAGTTCTGACAAAGGCATGCTGTGAGCTGGGGAGAGGTCAGGGGTCAGGATCTGCAGCGACCATTTGGTCAAGTAGGACTACAGCGTTCTCAGGGTCAGGATTGGCTGGTCGAAGATCTGGGTTATTTGGGGGGATTGTGTTGGAGTCCATAGAGCCTGACCTCGATGATTTGCTGATGAATGAATGTGTGAGGGGCCAGAGACAGGTACTCAGCATGCCCCCTGGTAACCCAGGCTGCCCAGCCTGCAGGTCTAGCAGAGCCTGCTGATTTCACTCTTGCTGCAACCCCACTTGCAGCAGTTGCTGGGGAGCCCAGCGAGGACATCTCGGCTGTGCCGCAGAGCCCCTGGGGTCCCCTGCCAGCTGGGTCGGCTCCCATAGAAGGTCTCTGGGGCCTTGGCCAGGGCCAGCCACTCGCGGGAGGCCACTGCCTCATCCAGCCCGGTGTCTGCATCAGGTTCTGCGTCTGGGAAGGCATCGCCTGCAGAAGATGAAAGGGGTTAATGCTTGGGGCTCAGTTTATGTCACACCCAAAGTCAGGGCTCCTGGTTGGTCCAGCTACTTTTCTGTTCTTGTGGCACAGTTGTATGGTTCAAGGTTTTGATTCCACTCAGGCCTAGCTTCCAGCTTCGAGGGCTAGAACATTCAACTTCACTGAGCTTGACTTCCCTGTTATTTCTTTTCCCTTACTCTTTATTTATTGAGGACCTGATGGTTAAGGCCATACGTCTGGGATCCAGACTGATTAAGCACCGATCCAGCCTAATATAATCCTGAGCAAGTGAATTTACTTCTCTGAGTCTCAGTTTCCTTGTCTGCAAAATGAGGAAAATAATAGCTCCTACCTTCTAGGGTTTCATAGAGAGTAGATAAGTTAATTAATACTCATTTAAAAAAAAACAAAACAAGAACTTAGGACTGTGTCTGGCACATGATATATACTCAAAATGGCATTGAGCATTTATCGAGCACTAACTGTGTGCCACTGTTTTAAGGGTTTTCATGAGTAAATGCCATTATTCCTCTTAATGACAGACCCATGAGGTGGGTGCTGTTATTATGACCTCATTTTCCAGAGACTCACACTGAGGCCCAATTTGGTAGAGTAACTCTCCGAAAACACACAGCTACTGAATTGTAGAGCTGCTATTTGAATCCAGGCAGCATGTTGTCTAGGTTCACATTCATACCATTATCATCATCATCATCACCAACATCTATTTTTCTGCCAGACCCCTGCCCTTTCAGAATTTAGACTCCATGCCCCGCTCTTGAGCCCAAACTGAACCTCCTGCCTTCCTTGGACTGTGTTCTTATCTGTTTCTGATTCAGTTTTGCCATGGAACAAACTTGTGAGATGCCAGGACTCTGCTTTCCATTTGCAGACAAAGAGGGTCAGAGAGGAGAAGCACTTGGTGGGAGGGTCACCCAATAGGTGGCAACATCTGGCTTTGGACACAACCTACCCCTACACCACCTTTGCCTAGGGGTGGGGAGGAGCACTTCAGTGTCAGCCTCTGAGCAGTGTCCTCCTGGAGTCCCGCAAGCAGCAGCCTTGCTCAGTGTGGAGCTGGGCACATAGGATGGGCCCCAGGAATAGCACTCTGTCCTTTGACGTTCAGCCAGTGGAGGTGGCTTGCAGCCCCCGTCCCAGCTTTGCAGCCCAGCCAACTGGCTCAGCTTCGGGAATGGGCAGGCCTCCTCAGCCTCAAGTCGTGGGCAGGGGCTTACCTCCCCGGCCCCTGGTCTCATCTTTGTCTCTGTCTACTTGGGCCCATCCCATGTCCCATGTTCCCCCTTCCTCCCCTCCGCTACGACCCTCAGCCTCACCCGTTGCTTCACGGGCCAGGATGAGCGACCGCCTCCACCGGGAGCTTCCGCAGGTGTAGATGACTGCCCGGATGAATTCCCGGCCGCAAAGCTTCACACCATAGGGTGCTCCCCGCGCCTCAGCTTCCAGCCACAGCCGCCCGGCCAGCACCCACACGGCCAGCAGCAGCAGCACTGGGTGCTTAGCCATGCTGGACAGGGACGCCTGGGACGCGAGGGTGGGCACAGCGAGGAAGTTTTCCAGCGGTCAGTGCCTCTGCTGCTTCCTGGTCCCCCATTTATACACCCAGGCTCCCCCTGCCTGCTGTGTAGGAACCAAGTGACCTCCTTTATCTCCTCCAGCAGAGGGGAGGCGCGCGTGCCCCTGGACAACCCTGACCTTTCCTGTCTCCCTGGACTAAGAGATAACCTTTCACCAGGGATGGGGTGACATGGTTTGGCTCACTGTCATCTTCAACAGAGAGATGCAAGAAGGCCTCGATTCAGCAGAGACGAGGAACCTAGACCCCCCACAAGGCCAAGAGAGAAGGAGCAGCCAGACCCTCCCCACCGCAGGGGTCGGGGCCTCCTCTACAACAGCAACAACAACAATAACGAGCCCTTACACAGCGTGGGCTTGGAACCAAGCACTGCTCTAAACATTTTATATTTGTGTGATCTATTTAATTCTCCTGACCATCAGGATAACGGTTCTCAAATCTGAGCAAGCCCCAGGACCTTCTGGAGGGCTTGATAAAACCCAAATGGCTAGGTCCACCTGCAGAGCATCTGAGAAAACTTTCCAGGCCACGCTAATGCTGCTGGTCCAGGAAACACTTTAGAGAGCCACTAGGCTATGAGATCAGGGCTCAGATGATACCCACAGTGCGGATGAGGAAACTGAGTGGGGACAGAAGGTGCCCAAGGTCAGCTGGTATATGGGGGGGGGCGGTGGAAAGCTATCTGACTCTAGAATTCATGCTCTCCGAGGGCAAACTTTAAGGATTAAAAAATATATATACACACACATACACATACAGAGTTTCAGTTTTGCAAGATGAAAAGAGTTCTGGAGATGGATGGTGGGGGTGGCCGCACAACAGTGTGAACGGACTTACTGCCGCCAAACCGAACACATGAAAGTAGTTAAGATGGTGAAATTTATGTTGCATGTATTTTTTTCACAATTAAAAATGCTTAATGAGTACCATATACTTAGAGGAGCTGTGATGTCCTGGGAAATGTTTAAAAATGGGCTCTCTAGAAAAAAAACAACAACAAACAAACCCAACTGATTTGTAGCAGTTGTCCGTTTCCAGCTAATTTCAAGCTACCAATGTGATGTCACTGTGATGTCCCCAAATTCCTGGAGAGTTGAAATCCATCCTCACAAGTCAGTGCAGCTGGCTCCAGGATACCACTGAAATCGCCTTACACGTGCAATTTAAATAATCATTAAAAACTGAACACCTGTGTCATCATCACTCTGATCAGGAAACGGGACGGTGCCAGCAACACAGATGTCCGTCCCCTCCCCCATATCCTCTCTGATCACCATCCCTGGCTTTTCCCGGAGGTAACTGCCAAGCAGATTAGGTCTCATCATTTCTTTGTTTTTCATTACAGTTTTAACACCAACACATGCCTCTCTAAAACAGATAGCTGAGTCTGTCTCTTTTCCTTTCCTGTTTTTTCTTTGTTGCACCTGAACAAATTGAACTTTTTGTTGCACATACAGAAAATTGCACAGATCACAAGTGGACACCTGGAAGAATTTTCACAAACAGAACACACTTCTGTAACCACTGCTCAAGTCCCAGAACAGAACGCTCTTGGCCTCCCCCCAGGGCAGGGCAATGAAGCTCCATTGTCTGGGGGGAGGAGGAGTATGGAAGAATTGGTGGCCTTACGTTAAAACTGTGATAAAAAATGCAAAAAATGGATAAATACTTTGGCTGAGGTACTTTGAGGCCCCGCAAAGATCCCATTTCCCATCAAAGTTCCCCCACTGCTTTTACATTCATTGGTGGATCATGTGTGTGGAAATTATTCCTGTGATTTGTTTATTTTTGTTCATTAGTAGTTTTCCATTTATCTCATTCCTTCTACACGTACAATTATTTATTATTTGGAATTCTTACATAAGGAGGAGTTGTTCTGTCTCCATTGATTTGTTTATTCAATCGTTTCTTCATACCCATATGGATTCGTGAAGTTATTTTAGTCTTTGTTTTTCTCTTTTAAGATTTTATTATTTATTTTTTAGAGAGAAGGAAAGGGAGGGAGATAGAGGGAGAGAAACATCCACATGGGAGAGAAACAACCAGGGGCCTGGCCCACAACCCAGGCTCGTGCCCTGACTGGGAATCAAACCAGCGACCTTTCAGTTTGCAGGAGGATGCCCAACACACTGAGCCACACTGGTCAGAGATGTTTTAGTTTGTGGGTTGTAATCCAGTCCTATTGTCATTTATTTTGTTGCCCAAATTGTTCCAGCTTTGGCCACTGGGAGCTCTTTCAGTTGGCCACTGCTGTAAGCATTTTATTTAAGGCACTGTTCTTTCGACATGACTCCATTTTTGTTTGTTTGTTTGTTTTTAGCACTTTCTTACTTTTTAGCACCACAAGATGTCCCAGGCTCATCTTGGGTTTTCCATACCCCAGTCCTGGAATTGGCCATTTCCCCAAGGAGCCTGGATTCCGTTTACTGGAGAACGGCACTGAGAAACCAAGGTCTGAGTGCTGGGTGTGTTCATTACCACTAGGGGTGGGGCGTTATGCAATTGCTTCTAGGCCCTCTCAGCTGATGGCATTACTTTCTTTTTTTAATATTTAGGTAAAATTCATATAAAATAATATTAACCATTGTAAACATTACACGTGCATTACTGCACACACACATTCAGAGCAGCAGTACTCAGTACAGTCAAAAAACAGAAACCCAAATGTCCATCACCAGATGAATGGATAAACAAAATGTGCTCCATCCATACAGTAGAAGACGTTACTCGGCCTTAAAAAGGAACGAAGTTCTGATACATGCTGCAATGTGGATGAACCTCAAAAACATGATACTGACTGAGAGAAGCCAGGCACAAAAGGTCACATACTGTGTGATTCTGTGGATATGAAATGTCCAGGTAGGCAAATCCATAGAGACAGTTAGACCAGTGGTGCCAAGGGTTGGGAGGAGGGAGGGAAGCAGATGCTTGAGTCTGGCGCCTTAGACCACTCGGCCACCCTGACAAGCTCGGGAGGAGGGAGGAATGGGGAGCAATTGCTACTGGGTTTTTCTTTGGAGTCATGAAAATGTTTTGGAATTAGACAGAGGTGATGGTTGCACAGCACTGAGAAATACTGCCACTGAACGTTCATTTTAACATGGTTAATTTTGTTATATCAATTTCACTTCAATGTTTAAAAACAATACGGCCTCTGCTAATGGGCAGAGTTGGGTTTCAATCCCGTCTCTGTTTCCTGCTGTGTGACTTCGGGCAATTCACATAACCTTTTTGGTGCCTTGATTTCCTCAACTGTAAAACAGGGAGGATTCGATGAGTATGTCAAATTCATAAAACAGCCTGTGGTATGCAGTAGTGCTGCTTAAATGTTATTTGTACTTGACACGTTCCTTCTGGATTTGAACTTTCTTCCTTTGACCTTTTCTTCATGACAAACTTCTGGCCTTGGTTGCCCCCTGTGGATGCTTTGGGCCAAGGGCAGCACTGCCGGAGGTAGGAGTCATAGTTGATTTTACCGCTTCAAAAGGGCTGATGAGTAATCCCTCTCCCCCTGGTCTCTTCTCCCAGTGACTCTCCAGGGTCACACCCTCTTTCCTTTTCCCCTTATCACCAGTGCCTGGCCCAGGGGCTGGCTAAGAGCAGACGTGACAGGAATCTGTGCTGCCTCATTGTCCAACTTTGACTCAGAACCAGAAACCTCTTTTGTGCCTCACACAGAATCAGAGTTTCAAGCCCAACACAGCTGGGTTTGAATCCTGATTCTTGTATGACCTTGAGCAAGATGCTGCACTTCTCTGAGTTCATGGGCTAGATGGAGACAATAAGCCTTTCTACTCTGCGCGGCTGTGCTGAGGACTTTGATGAGATTTGCTGAGGACTTTGGTGAGATTTAGCGCCCTGCAGAGCACACAGGAGTGCAGCTGGTTGAATAGTGGCCTGCAGAAGGATAGGGCCCTGTCCTAACATCCAGGACCTCTGAATATGGTCTTATTTGGACAAAGGGCCTTTGCAGATATAATTAAGGACTTGGAGATGAGATCGTCCTGGATTATCTGGGTGGATCCTAAACCTAGTAACAAGTGTTGAAGATGCAGACAGAAGGCTATGCGAAGACAGAGGCAGAGATTGGAGTCAAGTAGCCAAAAAGGCAAGTCATTCCTGGAGCTGCCAAAAGCTAGAAGAGATAAAGCAGGATGCTCCACTCGAGCCTTCGAAGGGAGCTGGCATCGTGATTTTGGACTCCTTGTCTCCAGGACAGCGAAAGAATAAATTCCGGCTTCTGCAAGCCACCCAATTTGTGGCAGTCTCTTACAGCAGCCATAGGAAGCTAATCCATAAAGAATTAAGAGATGCTGTGTGCTACCCATATCATTATTATTTCATTATCGTTGTTATTTTGGTCCATGTAAAAATACACCCGAACCTCACCAATCTTGAATAAAGCCTCCCTCTCCAAACTTTTTAACTAATTTTGTTTTTGAATAGTTAATACACTCAGATGTGTCAAGAAACAAAAAGTGTAAAAATGGTTATGCTGTCGAATCCCTTTCCCATCTCAGTTCCCCTCCTTTCCCCCACTGATAACCCACTGCTCTTGATTTCCTGAGTATCTTTCCAGAATGTCTGTGCATATTTACAAACAAATATGAATACAGGTCCTCATCCTCCACCCCCACACCTGCTTTCACATTCATGGGAGCATTAAAACATTCTTTTTTGTTGTGGTAAAATAGACATAACATAAAATATACCCTTTTAGCCATTTCAAGTGCCCCCCTCAGTGGCAGTAGCACATTCACACTGTGGTGCAACCATCCCACCGTCCATTTCCAGAACTTGACCATCTCCGCAAACCGAAACCGTGTCTCCGTCAAACACTGACTCCCCACTCCTCCCTCCTCCCAGCTTCTGGAAACCACCATTCTCCTTTTTGTCTCTGTGGATTTGCCATAGCACTTCATATAAATAGAATCAAAAAGTATTTGTCTTTGTGTGTTTAGCCTTTTTTTTAAGTATTATTTTTAAAAATTGATTTTAGAGAGAGAGA